CTTTGTTGATAATGCGGTGTTCTTGGGAATTACTTTAGATAGTAAACTCCAGTGGGGCCGAAATAGAAGGTCTTTCGAATAGCTAAGTTCCGCAGCGTTCGCAGTAAAAAGAGTACGCGATCTTAGGATGAGAACACAGAAAGCTTTTTATTTCAGCTATTTTCATATATTATTATATGGTGTTATTTTTGGGGTAATGATACATAATCGGTATTTGTAGTGAAAAGGGGCTATAAGAGTGATCTGTGGTTGTCGACGGGAGTCGGTCGGAAAGAAGTTTAAGGAATTACATATTTTGACTCTGGCAAGTAATACATTTATGAGAATATTTTGTATGTGCGGAAAAATATAGATATTTTTAAAAAGAATAGTAGCTTCCATAATTATAGTACTCGTAATAAAGACAAAATTAGCGCACCAACCAGAAGGCTGCATAAAACGAGTAATTCCTTAGCTCAAACTCAAACTCAAACTCAAAAATATCTTTATTCAAGTGGGTAACCAAGTACACTTTTGAATCGTCAAGTTAAATTAATCGTAAATTTACATTTACTACCAGTTCGCAAGTCAAGGGCGTAGAGCGGGTAAGAAGAACTGGCAAGAAACTTTCCGCCACTCTTTTTAATCGCCAAGTATTGTCATACAAATTGTTTGAACTGGAGCAATTCAATCCCAAGGATTAGGATATTTAAGTATCCTCAAATTTATAAAAAGCTTTGTTGATTAATATTGTTTAACGAGGGCTTTGAATTTATTTAGTGATAATACTCTAATTTGCTTGGGAGTTTGTTGTAAAAACGAATACAATTTCCATAAAGGATGGTTTATTTTTGAGCTGGTTGGTTTAACTCAAATTAGTTCTATTTCGCGTATTATATGGTGAAAGACCATTTGTTTTAAAATGTTTATATTTTTGAAGTTATACTTTTTAGGGGTTATGAAAAATTTATGAGAGTGAAATTTTACAATGCGGGCACCCGTGACACAAAATTAGGAGTGTGATTATAGGTGGGAGCGAGATAGGAATAAGACAATCTACAAGTAAAAAGAAATAGAATATGTAATTCGTATGCCAACAATTTTGAATGACCATAATGAATTTGTCATTTACCTTTTAAACAAATAAAGGATTTTAATTATTTTTTCAAAGAAATTTAGCGATGCTTTTTGAATTATAATCAGAAGTGATTTAAATTGAATATTTAAACCAATACTAATTAATATTTGTGAAAAACTGTCTCATCAACCTTCCTAAGTGCTTCAATACAATTGAGGTTAACTATCCGTATGTATTATTATTATTATGAGTAATGTTTTGATTAAAAAATTAACCACATTGTTTAATCAAAACATGTAATTTTTCTGATTTTATCTAGCAAATATAAGGAAAAGAGACAAAAACAATTGATGAATCAGTGTAACTGCACTAAATTGAATACAAAAAAGAGTTTTCATCTTATCGCTGTGAAACATCAAAAACTGGAGGTGGAACAAAGCCAAACTATTTTTAATATTGCCAAAGAAGTATAACTTCTTACGCGGTACATAAGTAAGGACCCTTTTTTTGGACATACAACAAGGCTTCAAGAATATATTGACCAGATAGTTCATAATATTTAATTCCTTAAACTTATTCCGTACCGACTCCTTCGGAGAAACACAACAAATACCCCGAACAGCCCGCTTCTGCAGCACAAATATGGATTGAACAACAAGTGTTGTCAATAAATAAATTTAAGTCGTACATTAAAGTAAAACTGCTTGTAAGGCCTATTATAATATAAATGAATATTTAAACGATCCTAGTCTTGGATATAAGTTGCTCCAGTATAAATAGGTAACGGACTGAATCTCTGGTGCATTTCAGACTGGGGCGATGTCAACATCCACGACTGTATTAATGTAAAGTGGGAACAAACCGTGATCCATGTGGTATCAAATTATTTCAGTATTATTATTATTTTCTTATGTAGCCAAGTCCACATTTCAAGGATCGTCATGCTGCTTAAAGTCATTGGTTGTGGCGGCGTCCATGCTCGGGTTGTCTCTCTCCCTAAAATATGGGAGGGGGCCGATGACTGGCCATGGTATATCGTGAACGGGTGTATGTGTACTGGTGTACTTGAATTGTGTATGGGTGATGTTAATTATTTCGACTATGTGTTTGGTGTTATTCCACGAGAATGTAAGTGGTGCTCCTATTTCACCAGCCTCCTGTGATAGAGGACAAGTCTTTGTTTTTAATTTATGTTATTATTATTAATTACTTAAGATGTATGTGGAACATGGTGAATGGTTGAGCTCCTTACAAACGTTGTGTAAAAAAACATGATTAAAAGAGTGGCGAATTATTGAGTTCTTCTCTTCCGTTCTAGCTTGATTTGAGAACTGGCAGTAAATGTAAAATTAGAAGCATTAATATGTATTTTTTAATACGAATCACAAGTGTAATTGTTATAGTAATAAATATTTTTGAATTGCAAGCTACCAGAATTACAATTAAGCTGAAACTGAGTAAACTTGTTCAATAAACAATTAAAAACAACTTTACAAGATTCCCCATCGTTACGACCCATGGAAAAACATTGACTCAAGGCCAAAGGTCAAAAAATGGGTGGATTTTTGAATCGTTTTATCTCAGAAGCGGTAGCTTTTGACCCTTTGATTTTGACTTTTGGCCTTGAGTAAATTTTTTCCATGGGTCGTAACGATGGGGAAATTTGAAAAGTTGTTTTGAACAAGTTTACTTGATGACTAGTAGTAGACTCGGCCAAGCGTTGCTGTGGCTAAGATTTTTGTTATATTACATAATACATAGTAGTAAACTATTCAAGAGAAACGGCAGGAGAACACCAATCCACCATGCTTTTTTGGTGGTTATGCCATTGAATTGTAGCTTTTGTGAAACATTGGTATTTATTTTGATAAGGATCAATACCTAGGTACGAATAAAGAGCCTTTTCTAGCGGTGGTATTTTAATAAAAAAAAATAAAAGGACGCTTATTGTGACGTAACTATAAAAGATAGAGACATGCTGTCGTGACATTTTTTCGCAGCGCACGCGATTCAAGGAAGTTTTTTGTTTATTTTTTTACACCTTGGGTTAGATTATTCAAGTTTTAGTAAGCATCCCTAATTTTTTTGAAAATGAAACATAGCCTATGTCACTTGCGTAGTGTAGCTTGCCAACGGTGAAAGAATTTTTGAAATCGGTCCAGTAGTTTCGGAGCCTATTCATTTCAAACAAACAAAAAATCAAACCTTTCCTCTTTATAATATTAGTATAGATAATTATGGTAGCTTCGCTCTTGTTTTTTGACCTAATTTGACCGGACTATTATAGATATATTTTAATGAAACAAGTTTATCACAATTTAACAAAAAAATAAATGTTTGATGCATCAGTTCAGTTTTGTATGTTTCATCTATCTTAATATATATAAATCTCGTGTCACAATGTTTGTCCTCAATGGACTCCTAAACTACCGAACCGATATCAATCAAATTTGCACACCATGTGCAGTTCGATCCAACTTGAGAGATAGGATAGTTTAAATCTCAAATTATAGTCGCAATTTTAATTTATTGCAAAATATTTGTTTATTATTTGATACAATTCTAACAGATGGCGCTGTGTTAAAATTATCAACGTTTCACATAAGCTGTCATCTACCTTTCACATAAGTTCTCCTACCGTTTCCCTTGAATAGTTTACTACTATGTAATATAACAAAAATCTTAGCCAGAGCAACGCTTGGCCGAGTCTACTAGTATGTTTATAAAAATGAAATGCTGTTCGTTTGTCTCGCTAAAACTCGAGAACACAGCCGGGGATTAAACTTATTAATTACGACCCTCGGTGTCGCACGCTGAAGCTAGACGAACACTCCTTTTACAACGCAATGAATTTACCTCATCTCTTTTATCTTTTTCAGCTGTCTCATTACGCCATTTATGCCACTTCTATTTAAATTCGCAAAGTGATAAATGTCGTCAATAAAGCCACATTGTCATGTTAAAGTTGTGTCGTTAAGGCTATTCTAGTCGCTATTAAGTATTATCTTAATATATATATTTCTTCTGTGCGTGTGTATGTGACTGAACTCCTCTCAAACGACTGGACCAATTTTGATGAAATTTTTTGTGTGTGTTTGTGTGTGTAGGGGATCTGGGAATGGTTTAGATTCACAAATCAGCTCGGCAGATGGCACTGCAGTCGGTACTTTCATACTTTGCTTAATATCCTAATCGCTTTAAATATCATGCAGGACAACGTCTGTGGGGTCCACTAGTTATTATATAATTACGCTATAAACTCTAGAACATTTTCTGGTATTATAAACCTTGGCTTTATATTGTCTTAAACGCCGAAGACTAGATATATAATAGGCGTTTTTTATGTAACAGGAAGTATACGCGCTCACTTGATGTTAAGTGATACCGTCTTCCATGGACACTTACATAGCGACAAGGTTCATGCGTTGCCGGCCTTTCAAGAATTGGTACGCTCTTTTTTTAAAGGAAATAGTTCCCGCCCAGAGGTGAGAAGAGTACTACATATGTGGCCGAATTTGCGCTTTATAAAGATGAAAGCGTGTGCCTTGCTGAGCACAAGCTTCTTAGAGGCTAACTTAGCCTTTCCTTCCAAATGACCGCGCAAACTTGTGTCTTCTTGGGGTTAAATTGGACTAGATTTAGACTACCCCAGTCCAATACTCCACATAGGAGAGAATACCTGCCCGGCCAGTGTAAAGAGAATCCCCAGTCCGTCCGCATAGCAATGAAATGTCTTTGATTATAGGCACGTACTACCATAAAAATATACCTATATAATTGGCTAATTTATTGTAATCTTACCTGAAAATTCTTGCACTAGATAAAAAATATCGAATTCTGTCCAATATACCTTAACAGTGTATTATAATTTCTTTCTATTCAATTACGTATTTTGGTGGTCTTATTTCAGAAATATAAATGACTAATATTTTATTTTTTCCAGTCAGTATCGGTGACAGTGTCAGTTTTGACATTGACATTCATCTCGGTTGACCGCTGGTACGCCATTTGCTTCCCGCTCAAATTCAAGTCCACCACAAGCCGAGCGAAGACCGCCATCTTGATTATATGGGTGCTGTCTTTATCATTCAGTGAGTAGTTTATGCGTTTATATTAAAAAGTAAAACCTACCGATATTAAGACAATAATTCATATTGATAACATGCCCGATCTTGTTTCAAGCTGACATATTCTGACAATCAACTGACCGTCTCTTCAATGGTTACCGCCTCTATCCTATATTACGAACGTCATTTAAAGTGATAGTACATCGTAGTTCAATACTTAAAAAAAGGCGCATGAGGGTAAAAACTTTACGGAACGTCACGAAGATGTGCAGCGTTTTTGTCTAAGAAAAGGGCGAGAGCGATTGAGATCGATTGAGAGAGAGTCTAAATCCCTCTGCTATTGATATTAGAGGGCTAGCGAGATCCTACCCACTTAAAACAATTCAGCCCTCCACACGCGCTTAAGATGGGCCTTTGAGGTTGGGCAAAAAGGAAGTAGCCCGAGCCCGGAAGACAGGAACCTGTATCTGACCTTAACCAATTAAAGATTGTAGTCTCCTCTTGACAAGAGCGGATTTAGCGTCCATGTAGCCACAAAGTCCTGTCATGATTCACGTCTTCCAGGCCCCAGGATGGGCTCATGCCTGGGTTTGCTCTTGCCTA